GGTACATCCCAATAATCTGTACACACCTTTTCGTTGCTATTTGCTCCTGAGCTAGCAGCTGGCCAAGGCTGCTTGGAGAACGGCTCTTCTCCAGGGCCCGGAGTTTCCTTGACGACTGTGCGTGTCGTTGATGCCGAAGAACTGGATGCATCCGTAGAAGGAGTTCGGGGTTTTTGCAGCTTCTTGTAGACCCCCAGCTTCCTCTTGAGCTGCTTCAGCTCCACCGACGTCTTCCCTGGGGAGCGGGTAGTCGTTGTGGGCTGGTGTCGGGAGAGGACGTTGACTCCGTGGAAAGGTCGGCTTCTTTCCACACTCCTTAATTTGGTCCCCAAGTTATCCGGTACCGGTATAATCTCCACAGCTTTCTGCTTCTTTTGGAGTCCCTCCCGTATTTTCTCCAAGGCTCTAGCCCCTCGAAAATCATAAGTTTTCATTAAAGCATCTTTATAGGATAGCTTTAACGAATTCTTATAATTTCTTGGGTCTTCAAGGAGTTTCCCCGTCTCGGCAGAGTCTTTTTTCGCGGAGTCTGATTTTTCCTCGGCGATTTTCCCTGGCGAAGACTGGTCGTGGGGTGGAGATTTTCCCCCATCATTTCCTCCTTCTCGCGTCGAATCAGCTTCGTCGAAGTTGATTTTCCCGGAATCCCGCGGCCGCTTTCGGATCTTTTTATTTTCGCCAGCTAGATCCGCAATCACTGGCGACTCCCATTTTTTGGCTTCTGATTGGCCGGAAGATTTCCGCCACTGTTGCGTGCCCGATACTCTGCGCGTGCGGCCTTCATTTTGTTGCAGTCGAAGATTCGGTGGCCCGGCACCCCGCAAAAATCACACGTGACGTTGGTGTTTTTCGGACGTGGCCGCCCGTCGAATCTGTCGATCTCCATCGGGTCGGCGAACGTGGTGTGAGCCGAGCGGTCGCCCTGTCGCGTACTGCCGACGTGCGTCCGTCGTGTTCCGGCGTTGACCATGTCGAAGCGCTCCGCGGCCGAAACGATGTCACTGTAGCTCGCGTAGTTTGACACCGCGACTTGTCGTTTGACTTCGGTCTTCAGCCCTGCGAGGTAAGATTGCACTTTTTCCCCTTCGGTCAGGTCGGGAATTCTGTTATAAAATTCTTCCATCTGCTGCGTGTACTGTGCTACACTCCCGAACTGTCGATGGCGATGAATTTTTTCGCGGGCAAGGAAACCTGAATTTATCGGCTCGAATCGTTTCAGCAGGTCGGCGCGGAACTGCTGCCACGTGGCTTCACCGTGGATGAAAGTACTGTTGCCGCCAATCCACTCGAGTGCCGGCCCTCGCATCAGTGTCGCCGCGAGTCGTACACGTTGACCGTCCCAGACTGGCGAGCTCCATCCGACGGCTGCGAAGTAGATCTCCATCCCGGCGATCCATCTGCGGGCGTCGGAGTTTCGATCGCTCGGATCGAACGGCTCAGGTGGGCGCGGTTTCGGAGCCTCGAGAAACTGCTGCGACTGCTGCGTCGTCGCCGTTGTCGTCTCGTGCTGCGCTCCGGCGAGTCGAGTTACTCGCTCGAATTCGTTTCGCCACGCTTCGCGATCCGCTCGCATTTCCTCCTGAAGGGCTGCGATGCGCGCGAAGAGCTGCTGGGTAACCTCGGCGTTGTCGAAGGTTGCCATCCTGTTCAAAACACGCACGGAGGGGGTAATTCGAAAATCGCGGAGCTGGTGCTTACCAGAATCGGCGTCGAATTCGTCGCCCCCGGCGGTTTTTCGAGGCAGGTTTTCCCGCTGCTGCTGCTTTGTTGAGCGCGGCCGAGTGAGAAAAGCTCTGATTACCAAGTGTCACAGGATCGAATGACTCGAGGATCGATTGCACTATCGATCAGTACAAGGCGCTTTTATACTTCCAGAGTACATTAGGTAACCAGGTTTTATCCTATCTAAAGGAATAGACCCTTCTAGAATATAGAATCACCCTGCGTATAGCCACGCGAGGCTATTGGCTTTAAGGGATTACGGCAGGATTACGCTAGATAGCGTGTCTAGAACATTCCATGCCTGGTCGGTGATATAATTATAATAAGGGAAGAAACCAAAGGATAATGGAAAATGGGGAATATGAGACCAAAAGAGATGAGATTAAAAGAGGAATGAAATGAAGATGAAATATGGAAAAGGCCAAGTGGTGTAACGAGGTCGTACTCTCACAACTGGGCAGAGTCCCTCGTCCGCTCCAGCACCAGACGACCCGACCCCACCACCACCCCCTCCCGCACCCCCGCCTCCTCCACCACGCCCAACCTTGGGGCGGCGGCCCTTCCCCGAACGAAACTGCGCTGCAGCAGCAGTCTCAGCCACAGTGGCGAACCGTCGGAGAAGGTACACTGAGCGGGGGCACAACCCTGAAAGATAGGGACCGGGACGGTACCGCTCGCCTGGGCGATGGAGCGGTGGCGGGTCTCTATCACAGTCAGGGTGTCGACAAAGTCAGTGAGGGTGAGGTATGCGGGGTGAATGCTAAGGAAGCGGTCGCGGGCGACAGCAAGGCGGTCAGGGAGGCGGGTGGCAAGCAGGTAAAGGGTAGAGGTAATGGGCGGCTGGTGGGCTCTAAGCTGTGCGTCAGTGCAGGCAGCGCGCCAGGTCTCATCTATCGAGCGCAGGTGAGCAGCGAGGTCAGAGACAGTGGGGAAAGACGCAAGGTCAGGAAAGAGCATCGGGAGGATTAGGCGACCCACCGAGGCAGCTGGAGGGGTGGAATAGCGCTTGATGACTGCATCTAAGTATGCCTGAGCAGTAGTGAGGGACCTAAAGCGAGGGCGCTCGGACGGGGGAAGGGCGTTGCTAATGGCAAGCTGAGCGACAGCATCGCGAGAAAGCCAGACAGAGCGCGCACGGGCAGTGGCAGCAGTGGACTCGCGCTCAGTGGGTGTGGGGTCAGCGGGCAGAACAGCAGGGGGGTCTGGGCAAGGGAGCATACCGTCAAGGTGTGCGGAAAGCGGTTCACCATCCTGCCGCTGGCCAGTGAGTTGGCGGCGGAGGTCGGCAAGCCACGCCTCGAACTCCAGAGGCTTGCCTTCCGCATCGAAGCGAAGCTCCGCCGCCATCAGGAGCAGTGCAGTGCGGTGCAGGGCAGTGCAGCAAGGTGGAGGGCAATGCAGTGCGGTCCAGTGCGGTGCGGTGCAGTGCAGTGCAGTGCGGTGCAGGGCAGTACAGTGTGGTGCAGGGCGGTGGAGTGCGGGGCAGTACGGTGCAGGGCAGTGCAGGGCGGGGGGGGGGAACCGTACCAGTGAGGAGGAAGGGGCCGAGGCAGGGACGAGCGCAGGGGCCGGGCGGGCGCGACGGGGCCGGGCCAGTGCGACGGGGCCGAGCGAGGGCGACGGGGCCGGGCGGGCGCGACGGGGCTGGGCGAGCGCGACGGGGCCGGGCTGGTGCGGCGGGGCCGGGCAGGTGCGACAGGGCCGGGCCGGTGCGACTGGGCCGGGCGGGTGCGACGGGGCCGGGCGGGCGCGACAGGGCCAGGTGGGCGCGACGGGGCCGGGCCGGTGCGACAGGGCCGGGCGAGGGCGACGGGGCCGGGCGGGTGCGACGGGGCCGGGCGAGCGCGACGGGGCCGGGCTGGTGCGGTGGGGCCGGGCGGGTGCGACGTGGCCAGGCAAGGGCGACGGGGCCGGGCAGGGGGCGACGGGGCCGGGCAGGGCGCGACAGGGCCTGAAGGCGTGACGGGGCCCAGGAGGGGCGCTACGGGGCCCAGGAGGGGCGTTACGGGGCCCAGGAGGGGCGTTACGAGGCCCAGGAGGGGCACGACAGGGCCCAGGCGGGGCCCAGGAGGGGCACTACGGGGCACAGGAGGGGCGCGACTGTGCCCAGGAGGGGCGCTACGGGGCCTAGGAGGGGCATTACGGGGCTAAGGAGGGGCGCGACGGGGCCCAGGAGGGGCGCTACGGGGCCCAGGAGGGGCGCTACGGGGCCCAGGGAGGGCGCGACGAGGCCCAGGAGGGGCGCTACGGGGCCCAGGAGGGGCGCAACGGGGCCCAGGAGGGGCGCGACGGGGCCCAGGAGGGGCGCTACGGGGCCCAGGGAGGGGCACTACGGGGCCCAGAAGGGGCGCGACGGGGCCCAGGAGGGGCGCGACGGGGCCCAGGAGGGGCGCTACGGGGCCCATGAAGGGCGCGACGGGGCTAGGGGGGGAGGGGGTCGCGACGGGGCTAGGGGCACGACGGGCCGAGCTAGGGGGCGAGCGGAAGCAGTAGGTGGGGGGGGATCCTACCTACGCGTGATACCATATCAGAATTGAAGTGATAATGATAGAGTGAGAGTATACACAGATGTATACCTAAGTGTGTTGTACCCTCTAAGAGGTGACCCTATACAGTCTATACAAACATGACAAATACACATGTTTGACACGAAGTACCCTGATTTGAAGGGTGAGCCCCTGGCATAAACGGATCGTAGAGCTACAAAACCCCCCTATTCCCCACCCCCCAGTACCACCCCCAACCTATCCCCTCCCTTTCCCCTCCAGAAAAGAGACGTACTCATAGATTGGATGGTGGTTCACGAGTGAGAAGACCTAGGGCACAGAGCCAAGCAAGGAGTTTACGTAGGTGAAGTGGTGTGTTTCGTTCTTACAGAGCCCTTGACTGGAAAATTTGACGCTACGAAATATATATATATATATAATAATAATAATAATCCCAGCACTGACGTGTTGTTTTTGTTCCTACGCGGCTTCTGATGACTAACTTTTAAGGTACACCCGTGAGATCCGGGTTTCCATATAGAATGACGACTGGCAAAAACGAGTAGCACCAAAACGAATGTTCGGTGATCTGTCCGCCGACGAACTTGGCGAGGTTGGGTCTTTCGCCAACGCCAGTGTTACCAGCCGAAGTGTCAGAGCATTTCGCATCCCACTCATCGTCCTCTCTCGCATCATGTTGGTGCCAGCAAACATTTGCAGCAGCATTCACGGCACCCATCATGTTTCTAGCGAGCACCATTGGAGTTTGTTTCTACTCTACAGCCTGGAGCCCTACATGTACGCGGGCATGTGCTTCCTGATAACTTGCAGCCTAGTGTCTCAGTTTGGAGTTTGTTTCTGGCGTTTAGTGAGTAGCTGAAGCTTCTATCATATCCCAGTCACTGACATTGTGCCGTTATGCCTGATAAAGGTTTTTGCAGGCGAGAATGCGCTGCGAGTATTGCTGCGACGCGATCTTAGTACGAGTTGACTAGGTCGTCTTCTATCCGCTGTTGAGAACGAGTTAGCGACGATTTCCGGTACCTCGGTCCTGGCCTGATGGTTACACGACAGATAGAGTTTTAATAAGGCTTTTGTAGAATTGACAGGGTTAATATTGAGTACTCTTAGCAGATAGATGGCGGAGGCAGCGGCTGCAGCAGTAGTGTCGCGACGACATCACGACGATGCAGCAGGCGACGACGACGACGAAATTGATGCGTCATCGTCGCACAGGAGTCCCCGAACGAGCATAGAACGCCATTCGCCGGGGAATTCTCGATTTCACAAGCACTCGTCACTCGCTAAATCCGGCTCCCTTCCCAAGTCCGGCTCGCTTCCGAATTCTGGTTCGCTGTCCAAGTCAGCGTCCGACGCGTCGACCGATCCCACCTCGCCCGCTTACGCGACCCGAGGCTCGTTCCCGAAGTCATCCTCGTTATTAGACGACCCCGCTAAGTTTGAGGCGTATGAGCAGCTTAACCGACAACAGGCGAAAAACTTGAGGTGACGACGCAAACTCATTAGGTGATCATGTATTACGTAGCGCTGGTAAGGTGCTGCTTGCGACAGTAACCATAACTTGTCAATCTTCTAACCAGTAACCACCTTCACTCGAGCAACCAGTAACCACCATCTGCCAATCGCGTAACCAGTAACCGCACCGTGTGTGATTCTTCGCCTGTGCGTGCAGCCCTGGGGCTGGAGGCCGCCTTCCCAGGCAAGACAGCTCCAGCGGCGGCTTCTCCTCCTCCCCGCCGCCTCGCTCCACGTCCAATCATGCTCCCTCGCACCAGGGACCTCCAGGGTCGCTGGAGTTATTGGCACTACCTAGGGTGCCAGGGCCTCTTGGGTTATCCGGACATCATGCATTAGTGGGGGATGGGGGGAATGGGGGACGGGAGGAAGCAGGGATGAAACAGACTAAGGAGCCAGTCGCCCCCAACGCCCCACCAGTAGTGTCAGATTTAGGACTCGAACCCAGGACTTCTGCTCCTTTTGCGTCTGCATCTGGGTCCGGCATGGCTGCAGAAGCAGCAGCGACAATGGCAGGAGCAGCAGGGAGGCACCAACCGGCGCATTCATTCCCACGCTCCTCCCTGAAGCATCCCAGCGCTATGGCCAGTCGCTCTGGGTCATCCTGCTGCTGCTCCCCCTCCTCCTCCTCCTCTTCCCCTAGAGTGAAGAGGAGTGTGCGGTGGGCGTTAGAGGAGGGAGGGGAGAGTGACGGGGGTGAAAGGCGGAGTGTGGGTCGGGTGGACGAAGGGGAGGGAGAGGGGGAGGGGATGGTTGAGGGAGACCTGCTCATAGGTGGAGGGGAGGGCGGGCCGAGAGAGGGGGAGGGGGAAAGAGGGGGAGGGGGAATGGGGGCGGTAGGGGGAGAGGTAGGGAGCAACGGCAGAGGAAAGCTGTTTCGAGTGTTAACTGCAGACAGCTGTATGGGAGGAGACGGTGGTGGCAGGAGTGCAGTGTACGGTGGGAGGAGCACGGATTGGGGGAGAGGAGGCAGAAGCAGCAGAAGGGCGGGAGGATGGGGAGGGGCGGTGGGGTGGTGGTTTGGTCGGGGGAAAGGCACGGCAGACAGAGGGGTTGATGGAGCAGGGGATGGCGGTGGTTGGGGGGGAGGGGAGGGAGGGGGAGGTGATATGTCCGGGGTGATTGCAGAAGATGTGCCTCTATTGAATGACGAGGAGGTGGAGCGGATGGATGAAGAGGTCATTCAGGGTAAGCGTCCCCTTTCCCTCCCCTCTCCTCTCCCCTCCTTTTCCCCACAATGTGCTCGCTGCCGCTCCGTGTTTCCCTGGCCCGTGACCCCGTCACTTCCTCTTCCCTTCCCCTGCCCCCGTCACTTCATCTTCCCGTTCCTTGCAGCTCTGTTCGAGCGCGTGGCGGAGGCGCAGAGCCAGCTGCACAGCTACAAGAACCCCCTCGGCTTCCCTCTCTTCAGCCCCATGCACTAACTTCCCCCCACCCGCCCCCCTGGGTTGCATCGCATGCAGCCCTGTTCGAGCGCGTGGCGGAGGCGCAGAGCCAGCTGCACAGCTACAAGAACCTGGTGGTTTTCTCGCTCTTCACAGCGCTCTACCTCCTCATGCTCTGCCTGCAGGTGCGTGCTTCTTCTCTCCCCAAGCCATGCTCTGCCTCCCCCCCGGTACCTTTTTCTGACTGCGTTTGAGCCGCATTGGCGCGTGCCTCTTGGCTTGCTTGCTTTCTTCTCTATGCTGCACAATCACTATCATCCTCTCCCATGCACTCCCCCTCTCTCGCCCTCTCATCCCATCCCCCCCACCAGGCCCAACCCTTCCAGAGCTACCAGGTGGCCGCAGCACTCTCCGTCGTGGTTTCCTTATGTTGGACTAGCACTGCCACAACCGCTCTCACAACCTCCCATGCTCCCCCTCTCCCTCTCTCTGTCTCTCTCGCATCCCCCGCCCTACCGCACCCCCCCCTCCAGACCCCATCCTTCCAGCGCTACCAGGTGGCCGCAGCCCACTCCATCCTGCTTTCCTGATTCTGCACCGCACTTCAACAATCACTGTCTCCATGCTCTCCCTCTCTCTTTCTCTGTCTCTCCCTCTCCCCCTCCCCCCCCCAAATCAACCCCCCTCCCACCACCCCCACCAGGCCCAATCCTTCCGGAGCTACCAGGTGGCCGCAGCCCACTCCATCCTGCTGCCTCCGGTACGTGCCATTCTTCTCCCCAGGTGGCAGTCCCAGGCCTCTCAACCCCTTGTGTGTGTCACTCACCTCACCTCACCCTTCTTCTCAAGCTGCACTCAACTCCACTCCATAGCCCTTGCAGTAACTCTGTTCTGTAGCCCTCATCACCCAGTTCTGGGACCTTCTAGTCCCATACTCGGGCCCCTGAAACTGACGTGTGCTCTGTGTGTGGGGGGGGGGGCAGGACTATTCGGGTGACTCTAGCTACTCTTTCGCCAGCAGCAGTGACTTCTATACGTGGCTCAACGACAGCATTATTCAGGTGATCTCACCAGAGGTGTGATACTAGTCTGGTCCTGAGGCTTTTCAGGACTCCCAGCGGTGAATTTTACACCTGGCGCAACAACAGCAGCATTGTCAGGTGATTTCAACAGGTCAATCCTTTCATGTGAAGTGAACAAGCGTCTTCGCCCTTTGCTCCACCCACCCTCTTCTCCTCGTTACTATAACCAACATTGAGAGTGCACAAACATAACTAGTTTCCATCAACCAGTTTCCATTCCTCTCCTCCCCTGTGGTGCGCCTCTCACCCCTCAGGTCGTGTGGTCGGACCCCCAATGCGGCGACGGCACATGCACCCCCCCCACGGAGTTCCCTGCAGTGGGCCGCTTTGGCTGCGCCCAGGACTGCGGTGAGGCGCGCAACGTAACGGCGGTGACGGTGGCGCTGCGCTGCCACTTCGCGTCGAGGGAGGCCATGGCTGCGAGCTCGTGGAATCTGTGCTCCACCGCCATCCGAGACGTGTGCTGGTGAGACGGCAGTGCGAGTGAGTGCGGGGGGGAGCGTAAGAGAATGTGAGTGTGCTGATGAGGTACACATGTGTGTTACTTGCACGCCTCTGAGAGCTCCTAACCTTCCAATCTCTCACCACATTACCTTCCCAACCAAACCCCCCTCCCCCCACCAGGTTCGTTCCAGGAGGACCCCCACCCCAGCCTTTCACGGAGATGACAGCCTCTTGCACACGTCACCCTGTGCGTGGCTGCCATACCATCCGCCCCCCTGCTGCTGCACCTCATCTCATCACATTGTGTGATATGATCCCTCCCCTCACTCTCCCAGGTTCCAGGACCCCCAGCCGTTCACGGAGATGACAGGCTGGCACACGGTGACCATGCGACTGCCCGACAACGACTGGTTTGTGTCCCTCACCGCCCCTAATGGCGGTGTGGGCGTGTACGTGTACGATTCGATGGCCAAGACCCGCTCTCGAGAGGCAGAGCCTGCCTACTCGGGTGTCAATAGCACGGCTGCGGAAGTCTCTGCTCTGCCGACACCAGCAGCACCGACACCACCACCAGCAGCATCAGCGTCAGCAGCACCGTCAGCAGGCGCAGCAGCCCCATTAGCAGCATCCACCAAGGCGTATCTGCGCCCCTCTAATGGCACGGGCGCCAATGTGCTGCTGGCGTCCGTTGATGGGTGCGTGGTGGATGGGGAGAGCAACCTGCAGCGGTGCAGACAGGTACGGTGGGGTGCCTGCCAAGTATTTTCCTGGCTCCATCCACAGTCTGAACCCACGATGCTGTGTGCTGGCCGTCTTACACTAGAGCCTTTTGAGTCGAGTTGACGTTTGACTCGACTCGACTGGACGTTTGAGTCGACTGGACGTTTGAGTCGACTGGACGTTTGAGTCGACTGGACGTTTGAGTCGACTGGACGTTTGAGTCGATTCAATACGCATCCAAATCTGAACCCGCGATTTTGTGTGCTCACCACCTTGCACGTCACCCCCCCCCTTCCTCCTTGCCATTCCCTTGCGTCTCCCCTTTGCCACAGACGTGTGCCATCTGGACTCTTTGTCTCCCGCAGCTGTGCACCAAAGGCAGTGCCAACAGCAGCAGCAGCAGCAGCAGCAGCAGCAGCAGCAGCAGCAGCAGCAGCAGCATCAACAGCAGTGCTGGCACCACCCCTTCTCTGCCCATGCGGGTGGCCTCCTTGGCTCTGGGCAGCTGCTTCCAGGCGTGCAATGCCATGCTGCCAGGGACCTCCTTTGAGCACCCCAACAACGTTTCCTGCTCTCAGGTCGGCTCATTTTTGCTCACATTACCTTCATTGCTGCATGCTTCCAGGCGATTGTTTCACGTGCTCAGGTGATGCTCTCAGGTGCTCAGGTGATGCTCTCAGGTGCTCAGGTGATGCTCTCAGGTGCTCAGGTGATGCTCTCAGGTGCTCAGGTTCGGTGACTCAAACCAGTGCCCGCATTTTTTCTGCGAGTCATGTGTTGGCTTGGCTCCTTGTGCTTTCTAAGATGCTGACGTGGCAACCCCTCCTGCGCTCCCCCCCCACACCCTCCGTCCCTCTCCCTACCCCCCCATCTCATTTTCCTGGCAGGCGTTCACCCTGTTTGAGGCGTCTCTTCAAACGCCTTCCTGCACCGGTGCTCCCTCCTGCTTCTACCCTCCTGCAGCGCATCCCTTCATCTCTTGCTGCTCTTTCTTTCCATTCGTCCTGCCGTTTACTTTCATGTTTCTTCCACCTGTCCGCCGTATGCCATAAGTGCACGCCGTTGCTTTGCCTCCTGCCACTTTTCCACGCTTTTTCTCCATTCCTGTCATGCCCCTTTCATCTCTTGCCCCTTTGATCTCTTGCCCCTTTCATCTCTTGCATATCCCAACCTCTCATATCCTGCAATGGCATGGCTGCAGATATGCTCGCTGGGGCCCTTGGGTCTGCCGGCTCTCAGGCATCCACAGCAGCAGCAGCAGCAGCAGCTGGAGAGGCATCAGAAGTAAGGGGCTCCTCATCTGCCCGTCTGCTTCTCGATGCTTTTGCCCCTGCTGACAGCAGCGGCAGCGGCAGCGGCAGTGTCAGCGATTCACCATCATTTCCAGACACCCCCTGCATGCATGGCATCAGCACATCTGCTCCCGAGCGCTCTTTGCCCTCCCCGCACCTCTCTTGGCCTGCTGGGTTTCACCCGAATCGCTGGAGTGACATGGCTTCTGTGCAACAGGTATGTATGATATCCAATCATTTAATGCTGTGGACATAACCCTGGGGTCAATGTCAGAGGATTCCTTTACATTATATTCAGAGGATTCCTTTACATTATGTTCAGAGGATTCCTTTACATTATACTTAGAGGATTCCTTTGCATTATATTCAGAGGATTCCTTTACATTATATTCAGAGGATTCCTTTGCATTATATTCAGAGGATTCCTTTACATTATATTCAGAGGATTCCTTTACATTATATTCAGAGGATTCCTTTGCATTATATTCAGAGGATTCCTTTACATTGTATTCCGAGGATTCCTTTACATTATATTCAGAGGATTCCTTTGCATTATATTCAGAGGATTCCTTTACATTATATTCAGAGGATTCCTTTACATTATATTCAGAGGATTCCTTTACATGATATTCCGAGGATTCCTTTACATGATATTCAGAGGATTCCTTTACATTATGTTCAGAGGATTCCTTTACATTATACTTAGAGGATTCCTTTGCATTATATTCAGAGGATTCCTTTACATTATATTCAGAGGATTCCTTTGCATTATATTCAGAGGATTCCTTTACATTATATTCAGAGGATTCCTTTACATTATATTCAGAGGATTCCTTTGCATTATATTCAGAGGATTCCTTTACATTGTATTCCGAGGATTCCTTTACATTATATTCAGAGGATTCCTTTACATTATATTCAGAGGATTCCTTTACATTATATTCAGAGGATTTCTTTACATGATATTCCGAGGATTCCTTTACATTATATTCAGAGGATTCCTTTACATTATTTTCCGAGGATTCCTTTACATTATATTCAGAGGATTCCTTTACATTATATTCAGAGGATTTCTATCGGCACGTCTCACTCTCCCCACTGCTTTCCCTGTCCCCTCCACTGTGCTGTGCAGCGCCACCAGCAGCTGAGGCAGCAGTTGCAGGAGGAGTGGGTGCAGCGGCACAGGGGCCGGGAGACGGAGAGGGAGCAGCACAGGCCCCACCCACCCAATGCCAGCAGCGCCAGTGGGCGCACCTCTGAGGCGCCTGAAATGAGTGCCAGCGCCCTGAGCTCCACACGCCAGCTCTTCGCCTCCGCTCCCCCATCATTCTTCCCAGGTGCTTCTTCTGCCCCGTGCCTGGCCCCTCCCCCTTCCCGCTCTCTCCCCGCTTTTTTTTAGGCGCCTCAAAACTTAACTCCCCCTTCCCGCCCTCTCCCCGCTTTCTCCCTGTTGTTCCCTTCCATCTCACTGACTGAATTCGTCTTTGGTTGCTCATCGCCATTCTTGGCCTTCCTGGTCGTACCTCCCCCAGACATGCCTGCTTTCATGCCATGCCACCTCGAGTCAGGTCTCATCTCAGTGCAGCGCCCCATTGCTCATGGAACACGCTACAGCCTTTTGCACGTCTCCTCCTTCCCTGTACCCTTCCCTTGGTCCTCCCACCCCTGCAGCCGCCTCCACTCCGCCAATCACAGATGCCCAGCTGCTTGTCTGGGAGAGCCTTGGGACCTCCGATGGCGAGCGAATCAGGGCGTGCCAGGTGGCGGTGGCACGCACCCTATACACTACAGTGAAGGAGAGCTGCTTGGCCGGGCCGACCAATGGGAACGGCAACAGTGGCAGCGATAATAGCAGCGGTGGCAATGAAAACAGCAGCAGGAACAGTAACAGCAGCAGCGGCAGCAAAATCAGCAGCGCTAGTAGCAGTAGCACGTTGCTGGCATCGTCCCCAGCCAAGAGCCTCTCCCTCGCCTCCCGCAGCCGCCTCGTTGCTTTCCTCTGCACGCTCTTTGCTGGGCCTGTGGCCTCACACCCCCGCTGCAACTTCACGGAAGGTTCCTCCGGGCGGCAGTTGAAGGACCAGGCAGAGCTGGTGGATTACATTCGAGCGACGCACCGCAGGTAGGGGGTTGCGAGGGGCATGGTAGTTGCGGTGCAGACAACAGGTAATGTAGTAGTGGGTTGTTTAGGGTCTCCCACCCGTGTGCCAAGTTCAGTAACTAACCTGCTTCCTACGCTCCCCATGCTCCCCCACCCCTCCCTCCCCCCCCTTTCACATTCATCTTTCACCATTCGCCCCATCCCTGTCTCTCTATCCCCCACACCTGGCAACGCCTGCTCAGCCCGTCTCGGCGCTTCTCTGCCGCCCAGCAGTCTCTCTTCGTCCGTATTCTCGTCATGGCCCTGCAGTCAGTCGTGCAGAAGATGCCAAATGATGCCGTCCAGGCTGCCACCCGCCTGCTGCACGTCTTCAATGATGCCGTGATCTCCCCAGACGCCTCGTCTTGCCCTGCAGGTGCCTCTCTGTTACTCTCAGGTGCTCTTTGTTCTTCTCAGGTTCCCACTCTGTTCCCCTCAGGTGCCTCTCTGTTTCTCTCAGGTGCCTCTGTGTTTCTCTCAGGCGCCTCTCTGTTTCCCGCAGGACTCATATTCTGTTTGCAATAGGCGACCCTGTGCTGGATTATGCTGCCCACCGCGCTCGTCCCTTCCCCTCACATCGCTTTCCTTCTTCCCAACTCCTCCCTCTCCTTCTCTCTGCTCTCCTACTCTCTCTCCTCACCCATTCTGTGCCTCTTCCCGTCCACTTTGCTCCATCACTCGCTCCACCACTCCCCCTTCCCCCCCTTCCCCCAGCGGACTTCATAGTGCTGTGGGACTCATCTTCCTACTCCCGCCGCCTCATTTCCGACGGCCAGCGGATCACGTGGGTGTGGAACGACGACGACTACCACGAGCTGCGAGGTGCATCAGGAGCTCTCATTTCATTCAACTTCGTCCCGGCCGCATATTCGAGCTCCGTCGGCCTCGTGCTCCGTACCATCTAGCTCATTCCATGCTCCTCCTGTTCCATGTGCCACGGTGCCACCTCCTGTTGCTGTAGAGAAGCCATTTGACGCCTCACCACTTGCGCATCATTCATTCCCGCCCACCATATCTCCTTATCCCTTTTGGCTGCACTCCGTCCCATCCCTTCACTGCAGTTCCGGCAGGCACCGAGCCGTTTCTCGGGTTTGGAGCGGGTCGGCTGGGCCTTTCACGGCTTGCCACGTGTGCGTGGGACAACATCGGGCCCAGAGATGCCACGGACGAGCCTGCGCCATGTGTGCTGCGTGAGTGGTGTACTGTGATGACGTGGCATGTGTGGAGCGCACGTGTGTGATGTCACTTCGTCCTTGCAACGCGTGTCATGTGAAGTCTCAAAGCACTCCTCTTGCCCTTCTCTGCAGGATCTCCCGAGGACGCCTCTTCCGCCCACTTCAGCTACACCAAGGTGTTTGGCCGCGCAAGGGACGGGACAGTCAGGGACTCGCCTCAGTCGCTGGCGTCCACACTCATCCAAGCCAGGAATGGCTCAGGTGCGCGCATGTGATGAAGGGTCCTCTACCGCATGGACATATGGCCGTGCGGCACTCAGCTCCCCATCACCCGCCCACTTCAGCTGCTCCAAGGTGTTGGGTCGAGCGAGAGCCCGACGCAAACGCCTGATGCCAAGGGCACCATGCAAGCGACAGATGCAAGGGCCCGATGCAAGCACCCGATGCCAAGCGCCTGATGCCAACGGCCCCATGCCAGGGCCCGACGCCAATGGCCCGATGCCAAGGACCCGATGCAAGCGCGCGATGCAAGCGTCCCATACAGCGCCCGATGCAAGCGCCAGATGCAATAGCCCGATGCAAGCGCCCTATGCCAAGGGCCCGATGCTTTCAAGGACTCGCCACAGTCGCTGGCATCCACACTCTTTGAACCTAGGAATGACTCAGGTGCACGCATGGTGTGGCGCGGATGCATGCATGCAGCACAGTGTGTGTTAAGACATGCGTGTGCTTGCGAGTCATACGAGCAGCTCACCCTGTGAATCAGTCAAGGACGCGCTGCAATGTGGCACTATGTGGCTTCTGACTCCCTTACCCCTCCAGCCCCGTCCCTACTCTGCTCCCCTCTCACCAGCACCCCAGCAGCACTTCTCTATCCCGCCACCTCTCTGCTTTTGAGTCGTCTCAAAAGGCGCCGGCTCTCCCCCCCCCAGCAGTGCCCTATCAGCCCCTGCTTCGCACCACCCTCTGAGCTGCGACTCTCACTTTCCCACTCCTCTCTCAATTCACCCGCCTCCTCTCCCCTGCTCATCCGGCCCCCTCGCTCCACCAGAGCCCCAGCCGCGCACCTCCCTCCTGCCCTACCAACTGCTGCTCGACACCCTCTGTGCCCCTGCGTGCCGCCTCGCCATGCTGTCCAACGGCCGCTGCGACCACCCCTGCAACGTAGCTCCCTGTGACTTCGATGGCGGAGACTGCGCGTGCGGTGGCGCTGGCAAGGGGGCCCTTGGGAGCATCGCTGCTGGTGGTGCTGATGGTGGTGGCAGCAGTGGGAGCAGTGGCGTGGGGGTGGGGGGAGCAGCGGATGTGCTGTGGTGTGCGTGCCCGGTGCTGCAGATGCGAGGGGATGATGGAGGTACGGTTCTTTGCTTAGAACTGAAGAATCGTGGCCGCATGCGTACGAAGCTGGTAACCGCAGAGTATCGAGGCATGGCCGCTATTTCTATGAGATGGTATGGGAGATATGTAGGCTTCCTGCTTCTCAGTCCATGTGTGACGTGTCTTATGAATTGACTTACAAGTGCCCTGCTTGCTCAACCTATCTTGCCGCCTCTCTCTTTGTACGGTTTTGCCTCCACCGCCCATACACTCTCTCAACTCCAACCTTCCTTCCTGACTCCCGCTGAACCCCCTCCCCGCCTCCCCCCTCTCCCCCACTCCTCAGCATGCTGTGAGGCGGCGGGCGTGGGCACGGGCATCAAGGTGCCTTTCAGTCTGCGCAAGTTCGACCCCTCTGTGCATTCCCTCGACTCCATTCTGGGCAGCAGGGCCTCTGCGCTGCCTCGTGCCGTCTCCCAGTACAACAGGTGCGGCCCGTACTCCTTATAATGCGTCCCGCATGTGCTCCTTATAATGGGTTTGGCTTGTACTGAAAAAGATCCGTCCTCTATGTTCTGTCTTCACCCACCTCGTCTCTCCCCCCTCATCAATGGCAGTACCGCTGGGACTCCTCTGACTGTGTCTCTGAGGTGCCTGAACTGGAGTGTAGACACATGCTCGGTATGCCTGGTTCACCCACCCTTCCTTCCCCCTTCCAGGGTGCTGTTGGGCCTCGTCATTCTGCAGCACCGCTGGGGCTCCTCTGGCTGTGCCTTTTGAGGCGCTTAAAAATGCATCCATACTTGGCAACCCGTGTGCCTGCCCGCCCTCTATTGTCCCCCCCCCCCACCAGGGTGCTGATGGGCCTCATCATTGTACAGTACCGCTGGAACAACTCTGACTGTGCCACCAGCAGGTAAGCCCGTGGTCCAGCCTTATGCACGCCCGCATGCGCGTGCTCAAGCATGCACCCTGCCTGCTCTGACTGGCGGCCGTACTGCTGCCAATTCTCTGTGCGTGCTACTGACTCAACATTCACTCCGCTCACGCCCCCCCACCGTTCCACCTTCACTGCAGGTTTCACCTCCAGGACTCGTGTGCATCGGACAAGTCTCCAAGGCGTTCCTGCAGTGCCCACAAGCACAAGCCAAAGGCACTTCCCGCCCACCCCGCCGTCCCCTGTCTGCAGGTTCCACTTCCAGGAGTCTATTTTTGAGGCGCCTCAAAAACCGTCCCCTGTCTGCAGGTTCCACTTCCAGGACCTGTACATCTCGGGTGAGTCATCCGAGGTCTTATGCGATGCTTAAGCCAGATACTATCCTCCCCCTCCCCCCCGCCACCCCCCCGGTCTGCAGGTTTCACTTCCAGGACCTGTGCGTCACAGGCGAGTCATCCAAGGCGTTCGGGGTGAACCCGGTGTTTCTGCCGTCCTCCTCGCTGTACAACGCCAATGCCGCGGCCAACACCACCGCCTACACCAACGAATCTTTCGCCAACCCCTTTGAGCTCAACGCCAAGGGGCTGCCCTATGGCTTCCAGCAGCTGGTGAGGTGCCAGCAGCTGGTGGGACCATTGTATGCGCACAGCAGCGCAATCGACCTACCACAGCATTAGCAATCCCTGTTACCTACCGCCGTTGTCCATCAGCTGTTGCAGCCTCTCTCTTCTAACTCCCTCCTCTCCTCCCCCTTTCCCCCCTTTCTCCTCCTCTCCCCTCCTCTCCCCTCCTCTCCCCTCGCCTTCATTACCCAGCCCAGCAGCACCTGCTCTTCCTGCCATGTTTGACGGTGACCCAGATATCTCATTCGTCTCCCTCTCCTCCCCTCCCCTTCAACGCCCAGCCCGGCAGCACCCGCTTCCCGCTTGTGTTTGACGTGAATCTCGACAACGGGGCAGCCACGCGGCGGCTGCAGTACCTGGTGGACGGGTACTTCATTGATAACTACACCAAGAGCATCAATGTCGTGCTCATCACCCGCAATGGTGAGTGCTTGAAGGATAATACCGAGGCTGCAGACGCACAGGCTGCAGATCTGGTGGACGATCTGGTGGACGATCTGGTGGACGATCTGGTGGACGGGCACTTCATTGACAACCACACCAAGAGCATCAACGTTCTGCTCATCACTCGCAACGGTAGGGGGAGCCATGTCGTGTGGGTGTGATCATCCCTGGGTGGGTGGGTGGAATTTCACCCTCATACTCGCAGGCCCTCTGCCATCACTCCCCGTCAGCTGGTATTTTTCTAAAAATCTGCTCTCCTGCTCCTTTATTTCTTGCTACAGTCCTCTGCCTTTTCTCTCCCTGCCTGCACTCTCTCTGCCTGCACTCTTCCCTGTATAGCCAATGAACACCTGTTCACCACCACCAAAACCGCACTCAACCCCTTCTCCTCCTCCCCCCTGATTCCTTCTCCTCTGTACTCATCGTGTTACTCTTACCCTCTCTCCTGCTCCCCCCTGCGGCCCAGCCAACGAGCAACTGTTCACCGCCACCAGAGCCACCCTCACCCTCCAGCCGGGCGGCAGCATGGACGCTACCTTCCAAATCCAGCCAGTCAGCGTGGAGTACTACGACATGAATGAGACAAGCAACGTGATACGGGTGGTCCTGGAGCTCCTGTTTGTGGCGGCGGTGGCTTGGAATATAGTGGAGGAGGTGAAGGAGATGGTGTGGACGTGGAAGGTGCAGCGGCGGTCGTTCTGGCACTACTGGCGGCAGGGATGGAACTGGGTGGACTGGCTATCCATCTCCATCCAGATCATCTGCATAATCATGTGGTGAGAGGCCATGTGGCTCGGAGTGCATTGGAGGAGGGGAGAGAGACGCTGTGGGCGTGGAAGGTGAAGGCGAGGTTGTTGTCAAAAACGTTCTGGCACTACTGGCGGCAGGGGTGGAGCTGGGTGGAGTGGCTCGCCATCTCCATCCAAATTCTTTGAGGCGCCTCAAAAAATCCATGCGTGAGGAGTCTATGTTTGAGGCGCCTAAAAAATCCATGCGTGAGGAGTCTATTTTTGAGGCGCCTAAAAAAATCCATGCGTGAGGAGTCTATTTTTTAGGCGCCTAAAAAAATCCATGCGTGAGGAGTCCTATTTTTTAGGCGCCTCAAAAAATCCATGCGTGAGGAGTCTATTTTTGAGGCGCCTCAAAAATTGGACTGGCTCGCCATCTCCATCCAAATTCTTTGCATAATCATGTGTTGGGGGATGGCTTTGTGCTACCATGCTACCATGCTGAGGAAGGTGGTGTGTGACCAAGGGTGGCTGAGGAATGGAACTTGCTTTGAGGCATGGAAAGGTTTCTGACGGCAGGGGTGGAGGAATTGGGTGGGCTGGCTGTCCATCCCCATCCATATCCTCTGCATCTTCATGGGCCTTTTGAATCGACTCTTTTTTTGTGCCTTTTTTTGGCTGACTTCTGAGTCGACTGAAAAAAGAAGGGGTGAGCGGCTGTGGGGTGAGGGGCTGTGGGGTGAGGGGCTGTGGGGTGAGGGGCTGTGTTGTGAGGAGCAATGAGTAGCCTCGCTACTGGGCCCTCCCCAACCCTCAACCTTCTTACTCTTTCCCTGCTCTCTCTCCCTGCACTCTCCCCTGCTCTCTCCCCTGATCACTCCCCCCATGCACTACAGGGTGTCAACAGCAGCAGTGCACGGCGTGCATTCTCCATGCAGGCGCGCTACGACATCTACGACATGCTGGACGAGTACCCACGCTACTGGGCGCTCCCCAACCCTCCTCTTGTCAAACTCTCCCTCCTATCTCCTGCTCTCTCCCCCCACCATTCCCACGTGCAGGATATCAATGGCAGCAGTGGCGGGGCAGCGCTTCTCCATGCAGGCGCGCTACGACATCTACTACACGCTCGACGAGTACCCGCGCTACTGGGCGCTCCCCAACCCGCCCTCGGGGTACCTGGCGGCCGTGGCGGCTGCGGACAGCCTTGGCAGCATCATCAACACGAGCTCCGCCTACTTTGCTCTCCAAGGAATGAAGTAAGGTTTCTAGCCTGTTGTGGATCTAGCCTGTTGTGGGTCTAGCCTGTTGTGGGTCTAACCTGTTGTGACCACAACAGTCTTGCAGCGATGATGATGGCGATAGGATGGCTCTTGCATGTTCTCCCTTCTCCCTTCCATGCACAGTTCGCACCTCCGCTACGCCCCTGCCTGCCTGCATTGCAGTGCTGCTCGTCTTGAAGCTCACGAACTCGTAAGGGACTCTCGAAGGATTCACGCCCTCGCTTCCCTGATGAAGACAGGGGAGGGGAGGCGGCGGGGACCATAGTGATTCTTTTGAGGCGCCTCAAAAGGAGGGGAGGCGGGGACCATGGTGATTCGCGTGCTTCCCTCGCTCCCCTGCTCGCGATCACCCCTAACCGGCGTCTTCATTCATGGTGCTGCGCGTGCTGAAGCTGATGGGCTGCCAGCCGTACATGGGCATCATCACGCACTCCAACGCCCCCCCTCCCATGTATCCCATCTTGCTCCCCCTCCCGCCCTCCTCCCCCCTCATCAGCGTCTTCATCATGGTGCTGCGCGTGCTGAAGCTGAGGGGCTTCCAGCCATACATGGGCATCATCATGCGCTCCATCCTCCCATCCCATGCCTCCCCATGTGTTTCATGTTTCTCATGCACCCCATGTTTCCAGCGTCTTCATCATGGTGCTGCGCGTGCTGAAGCTGATGGACTTTCAGCCGTACATGGGCATCATCACGCGCTCCATCCGCGTGGCGCTGCCGTCCATCCTGCACTTCTTCATCCTCTCTCTCACCGTCTTCATGGCCTACGCCACCTACGGCTACTTGGTCTTCGGCATCACCATGCCACAGGTGCGTTAGTCTCAGACATTACTCTCCTCGTGTGCTGCCTGCATGCTTGGCTGCATGTATCTGCCTTTCCGGCCTCCTTCCCCATCTCCCCCTCCATTCCCCCACTGCAGTTCAGCACCCTTTGGTCCTCTACGCAGATGTGCTTCTTAATCATGTTGAACAACAGCAGTGTGCTCTACTTCTTTCACCGCATGCAAGGCGGGCACTACATGGCAGCTGCATTACCCTCTCCTATCCTCCCTTGTTTCTCCCTTCCCCCCACTGCAGTTCAGCACGCTATGGATGTCAATGCAGACAAGTTTCCTCATCATCCTGAACGACAATAGCGTGCTCTACTTCTTCCAGCGCATGCAAGGCTGGCAGTACGTGGCGGCCATGATCTTCTGGTTCTCCTTCGTCATCATCTTCTTCTTCGTGCTCTTCAACTTCCTCATCGCCATCATCGTCGACGCCTTTATGGACGTCAAGGTGAGTCAAGGTGTTGACCTGCAAGTTAACACAGGTCAACTGAGGTCAATGGTGGTCGTCTTCTGGTTCTCCTTCATCATCGTTTTCCTCTTTGCGCTCTTCGAATTCTGTATTGCGATTATCGTGACGCTTTTATGGACGTCGAGGTGAGTCAAAGCGGGTCAATGCGAGTCAGCGCAGGTCAACAGAGATGGTATTCTGGTTCTTATTCATGCTCCTCAACTTCGTCATCACGCTCATTCATTCTGCTCAATTCACTATTCGTTTTGTTCTGCAATGCTTGTGATTGGACTGCTTCTTTAACTACCTCCCTCCCTCCCTCCCTCCCTCCCTCCCTCCCTCCCTCTCTCCCTCCCTCCCTCCCTCCCTCCCTCCCTCCCTCCCCCACTCTCGCCCTCCTCCCATGGCCCACTGACATGGTTTGGCAGGATGCAGCGGACAGTGCGTCAGCAATATACGAGGACATGTGGCTCATTGTGCTGCGCTTCTTCCGCCGCGTCTCCTCACCTTATAGCGAGTACAGCCGCCTGCTCCGCCACCTGATTCGCCTGGGGGCCGTGGACACTGCGCACACTGTCATGGAGGTGAGACAGGCTGGGGGCAAGGATGGGTGCTTGGCTTACAGGGGTGTTACAGGGAGCCTGGCGTCGCCTCATAGCGAGTACAACAGTGGTGCTCAGGCACAGCATTTTCATGGGGGCAGTGGATACTGCCTCACTGGCATGGAGGTGAGACAGGCTGGGGGCAACGGGGGGTTGTACAGGGAGCCTGTCTGGCATTCCTTGCTTCCAGCCTCGCTTCCCCCTGTCCCGCCTTCCTCCCCCCCTTTTTCCTCTTACCACCATCGCCCTTTCACCGAGCTACTTGTGTGGAGTCCCTGTTTTTCCCTCCTGAGCAGAAGAGCCTGTGGCAGTCGGCACAGCAGGGCTTTGGCACGAGCCTTCACCACAGTGGGGAGTTGAGACAAAGCAAGGGCCACAACAGCAGCAGCAGCAGCAGTGGCATCAGGCACGGCAGCAGCAGTGGCAGCAGTGGCAGCCGTGGCAGCAGCAGTGTCAGCAGTGGCAAGGCAGGTACGGAGGGGGCAAGAACGGAGGATGCTGTAGTTGATTACGAATCGGGGAGAGATGGCACGAAGGAGGAATGCAGGGAAGAAGACGAGGGGAAGCGGAGGGGCTCAGGAGTGAAGGCTGCGTCTTGCAAGTCTGTGCAAGCGCCGACCACGGAGGAAGTGGAGGCTACTGATTTAAACGTGGCTGCAAGAGACCACAGGGAGAGAGACAACAGGGAGCTGCCAGGTGCTGGAGTCACCAGCTTCAAGGCACCCGCCAGCACCGCTGCGCATGTTGAGGCCAGTGCCTCCCTTGCGGCTGTTGGCCCGTGCAGCGCTGACCGCCTAGCCCTGGAGGCACCTACCAGCGTTAGGGAAAATGGCAGTGGGACGCGTGGCATCAGCAGCAGCAGTCTCGCTAGCCGCGAAAGCAGCGGTGACGGTGGTGGTGATGCTGGTGATGCTGGTGGTGGTGACGAGGTAATCGATAACAGCAATGGAAGCACTGGCAGTGGCAGAAGCAGCCCTAGCAGCCCCAAGAGCAAAGGTGGCGCAGGTGGCAGCAGTGGCAGGGGCGGAGGTGGTGGCAGCACGGTGGTGCGGGTGGTGCGGAGGCGAGTGAGCTTCTGGCGGATGCAGTCACTGGAGGAGAGGCAGAGGGTGGTGGCCGTGGGGGGGAGGCACCTCAATGCCGACTCGCTCTTGGCTATACTGCAACGTGCGCACGCCAGGAAGGTGAGATGGGGGGATGGGTGCATTGGTCGAGGGAGGCAGAGGGTGGTGGCCGTGGCCGGGGCAGGCACCTCAATGCCAACGCGCATACGCCTGGAAGGTGGGATGCACTTACAGGGGCGTGGAAGGCAGTGGTCAGTCAAGTCCTTCAGAGTGATGGTTGCAGCTTTCCTTTTTCTTCTTTTCCTGCTGCATCATGGAGGGTTGAGCTGGTGCAATGAATCTAGCCCCGAATCCAATCGTTCTCTCCCCTCCCCCATCCGTCCCTTGCAGCTGTGCTCGCTCTCTCACCCCCACCCCCTGTACACCATAGATCTGCCTGCGCTAGTGAAGTGCTTCTATCAGAGGTGGGGGTGAGCCTCTCATCTCTCCCGCTCATCTCTTTCCTCCGCCCCCCACCCACCCCTTCCCTGACCCTTTCCCACCCCTCCCCGCAGCTGCGCTCGCTCGCCCACCCGCATGACCTGCACTCCATAGACCTGCCCGCTCTAGTGAAGGTGCTTCTATCAGAGGTGGGAGAGAGCCTCTCTCGGAACGACCTGATGGCGCGTGCGAGCACGGCGGGTGCCATGTCGAGGCAGAAGAAGGACGCGCTGGCGCTGCAAGAGCGCATGGACGCGCTGCACACCACCATGGCGCACCGCTTCGACCAGCTCCAGAGCCAGATGGCGGGTCAACTGGGGAGCGACGATTGCCAAGTTGTGAGTCAGAGCCACGTTGCGGATCAACTCCAGAACCATGATAGGCAGTTTGCGAGTGAACGCCAGAGGGAAAGTCATCCCCAGCGGGCCCTTGGGCCTGGGCCGGACCACCTGCAGCGAGAGGTGGATGCTGCCCGGGAGGAGGCTCGGCGAGAGGCCTGGGAACAGGCTCGGCAGCAGGTGGAGGAGGCTCGGCGGGAGGCGCGGGAGGCGAGGGAGGACGCACGGGAGGCGAGGGAAGAGGCTCGGAGGGAGCGAGCAGAGGTTCGGGCGATGCTGCGTGAACTGAGAAGGGAGCTCCAGCTGCAAGGGGCAGCGAGGGGGGAGGGGAGAGAGCGTGGAGAAGCGGGGAGTGCGTGATCTAGATAGAATACTTGCTCAAAGGGAGGGACGGGAGAGCGGTCGAGGCACATGGTAAGCTGGCTGCTGTGCTGTGGATGTGGCTGGAGCTCGTCTGGGGAATGATCGAGCAGGAGCAGAGAGGCACGTAACGGTGTTGTTTCCGTGTTCAGGTGATATGCTGAAGGGGTTTCACGGGCACCTGCTCCTGCGTGCTCTTGCCGTTGTCCTCGCAAAACATTCTCCTTCGACTGGCTGTTGCCAGGTGGCACTTCCTGTGTGGGCCGGTTTCTTCCTAGAAATGTGTAAGTTATTTTGAGGTGCCTCTGATTGGATACACCGTGCACGACACCACAACAGGTGGGGAAGCACGGCTGAAGGAACTAGCAAGCTTCAGGCCTCAAGTCACAGAGCAATGCATGGTGGGCTGCTGAACCTGACACTTCATATGCAGCAACGATACCAGCCACACAGCCCTCTGGGCTGCAGTGGCAACTCCAGAGTCTAGGCTACGGCAGCAAGGCCCCGGCTCCACTTGAGTAGGTTTATCGCCCGCGCCCTATCGCCCACACCCTATCGCCCGCACCCCCACTCAGTATCTACCCAAGGCTCGCTACGTTCAATGCATGGGAAGGGATCTTGAATGCAGGGAAGCCTAATGCTGAGCTGTCGTCACACAAACGGAAGAAGCTTGGCAAGGCAAGTGTGTCAAGGCGCCTCAAAGCGGGGCTTGTCAGAACTTGGGAGGAAGTAGGGCTTGGCTCACATGGGCTCTGGGCCCAGGCAAACCAACCAATGCGCCAGAACCTGCAAAACCAGGACCTGTGAGGCCCATGCAAGCAACTCATTGCAACTCATAGTCTGCCAAATCAAATCAGTGGTGGGCGGCACACCCATCCACTAGGTGGTCTCCCAGTGAACCCACCCAGCCCTCACACGCCCATCACCGCCCCCCCAGCCCCCTCCCCACATCACCACTGAAGGCGGAGCACTCTTCTCAGCCGCCGTACACCACCAGGCTCGTCGCCGTGGAGTGCGCGTCATCCATGCGGGGCGAAGCCACCCACCAGGCTCTCCCCCAGTGCTCTCACCACCCCCTCCACTCCCATCTCCCCCATCCCCCTTCCCCCCGCACTCCTCATCACACCATCCAACTCCCCTGTATCTCGCCCCACCGCATACCGCACCAGAGCAGCCTGCAGGGCATGGTGCGGGGGCAGGGCGCCTAGGGGGATTCCAAAGATCCGCACGCGCTCTATGCAGAAGCGGGGGGAAGGGGGAGGTGCATTCTCGGGGAGGATGTATGCAGGGCGGTGGGGGTTGGGGGAGGCGGTTTGGAGGAGGAGGTATGCCGGGAGGGAGGGAGAGGGGGGAGAGTGGGAGGGGGATGAGGGGGAGTGGAGAGGGGAGGGTGAAGGGGAGGGAATGGGTGAGTGGGCGGTGGCTGAGTCTAGGCTGCTGATGCTGTCGCTGCTGCTTCTGTAGTGAATGGGCCCAAGCGCAGGGTCAGAGCGAGGGTGGTTGCAGCAGCACCTGCTGCTGCTGCTTCCACTGCAAACCCTACACGGACTCTCTGTAAGGCTGGCACTCCTGCTGCTGTCGCTGCTGCTGCAGGAGAGAGTCCTCTGAATGCGTCGAGCCAGCCTCCCTCGAGCCTCACTCATGAGTGCACGCCACTCACACTCCATACCCCCCCACATGCACCCATCATCCCCACCATCCCCATCCTCATCCCCATCCTTTAGCCAGCCATCCCCCTTTCCCCCCTCCTCCCCTCCCTCCCTGCAGTCCCTCTCCCACTCCTCCGATCCCCTGCGAGCCCCGGCCAACCAGCTGCCACCGCAGGGTCTCAACCCGTTACCCTCCACTTCCTCAACCCTCCCCCTCCCCTCCGCAGGCCCTCCCACGCACCCCCCCGCATTCCCTTCCGCCCAGGCCCCCCCTCGGCCTTCCGCCCAGGGGGAGCCAGAGAGCAGCAGGCGCACATGGTTGCCCAGGGCCAGGGCGGAGGGGGGGAGACGGAGCAGTTGGGAGATAGGGGCGGGGGTCAGGGGGAAGGGGGAGGAGGAGAAGGGGAAGGCGGAGGGGGAGAAACCCACTTCAACCTGAGACAGCGTGTGTAGGGGGAGGGGGGGAGGGGGGGGGAAGAGTAGAGGGGAGTCGGGCATGGATGAAGAGGTATAAGCCTGAAAGGAGGGGATGGTGGGTGGGGGATGGGAGGTGGGGGAAGGCGCGGCACTGCAGAGAGGTGAGTGCGCCAGGTGATGGCGGTGGGTGGTTGTCAAGTGGTGGGGCCGGGGGTGTGCAGGTTGTGGGGGGGGATGGGGTTGTGCTAGCAATGGTCACCTGGAGGTTTTTCGGGCAGACGGCGTTCCAGATGTCCTGCCCGGAAACGATCTCCACCCCTGTGACGAGGCACAGGGGCAGGTCCACGCGGAATGTGAGCGCCTCCCGCGCCTCCTGCAGCCGGGAGAAGGGCTGATGGGGGGACGGGGGGGGGAAAGGGGGGGGCGGGAGATGGGGGGGGGAGGTGGAGGGGGATGGGGGGGGGGAAGGGTCGGGGCCGGGGAAGGGGTTGGGAGGGGAGGCGGGAGGGGGGGGGAGGGTAGGGGGCGGGGCAAAGGAGGGGGGGGTGGGAGGCTGGGGAGAAGGGGGGGACTGGGGAGTAAATGGACGAAGGGGAAGAGAGTGAGGCGTGGGCGGTTCATAGGAGGCATGGCTGAAGATAGGGGGATGGAGGGGCAGCAGAGGGAGGATACTGGTGAGAGAAACCTCCCCTCGCTGCGTCGATACTAGTCATCCACATACACGCAGCACCTAGAGACGACCTTTGCTTCGCTACAAGCCTCAACTCGATACAAGCCTTACCGCACGCCGCTGACTGAGCCAGAGGAAGTCGTCTTCGAGCGTCCACTCCGCACCCGCGTTACAGGCGATACCTCAGTACAAGCAGCACTCGATACGAGCTACAGACAAGGCAATACAAGCGACACCGCACGCACCTGGCTGAACCGGAGCCCACCGCACCTGGCTGAACCAGAAGAAGTCGTCCCTGAGCGTCCACTCCGCGCCCCACCCCTCCTCCTCGCTCGAGCTCCCCACAGCCTGCAGAGGAAGCTGCGGAGGAACCTTCCACCCGCGGTCCAGCTGCACCAACCCGCGGTACACCTCCTTCCAGGAACCTTCGGGGACAACCAGGGGGAGGTGGCTGCGCCAATGCTGCTCGCGCCCGAAGGAGGGAGGTAAGCCGCGGTACCCCTCTCTATGCTGCTCTTGCCCCGCTTGATGACTAATGCGCGCCGGTACGGCCGCCGCCTTTCCTTTGGTAGTGGCGACATGAGGACACTGCTTTCTCTTATCGGCGCGCTGATGCCTGCAGTCCTGTGCGCGTTTGTAGCCGATCCGCGGAGAGCCCGACACCAGGTGGCGCAGCGCGGGGGAGAGCTGCAGTGATGTGGAGGAGCTATTCGGCAGCAGATGCCAAATGCCAGCACCGGCCGATTCCCCCTGCTCCGCACTCTCATTCTCCGCGCGATCATTATCCTCACTCTCATTGGCGCCGACGGCTCGGCGCGCAGAGACTCCTTGCAGGTGCTGAGATTCCTCTAGCTGAGAGCCTACTAAGTCAGGTGCTGACAGCTGCGGCCTACCGCGTAGGCTCCGTTGCGCTGCGGATGCCGCCTTTGCGGAGTGCGGCGTTAGCGCGGATGCGGAGTGCGCGGCCGTAGCGGGGAGCGGTAGGACCTGCGCCACCTTTTCTGACCAGAGCGTGTCGGAAGCTGGGGCATGAAAAGGCATGTGCGCAACGACGTGCGCGGAAAGACGAGAGGAGAAAAACGTGCGCTAAACGACAAGGACGAAAGTAGTACGGGGAAATAACACGCGGAAAACGCGGGCGTTGAGGGAATTGGGGAGGGGCGTAGCTGGGGGAGGAGGAGTTTCTACTTTTGAGGCGCCTCAAAACTAGGCACTTCTCACGCTTTTAGGGAAGAGGAGCAGCCGGGGGCGGAGGAGGCGGAGGAAGAAGAAGGGAAGACGCGCGGAGCGGAGAGTGATCGCCAGCGAAGGCGCGCAAAAAAACGAGGACGAAAGCGCGGCAAAACATCACACAGAGGCGTTCAATCTAGCGTAAAGTGGCCGTTGTTGCATACCTCTTTATCGCCATTTACCTGCTAGTCGGCGCCACCGGCGCGACACTGCAGCAGCTCGGCAAAGGCAGCGGGGCGGGAGGCAGCGAAGGACCTCAATTGCCACGTCATCGTAGTCCCACAGCTCCGCGAGGGGCGGCGAGGATTCCGGAAGTGAGTGTGATTCCGCCATGCCACTTTCGGGAGGAGATGCGGAGGGAGAATCGTAGAAACGGCTGGGTAGGGGACGACGCGAGCGTTACGCTCAGATGAGAACGTTTTATTGCAAGCGCTTACGAATGATAGAAGAACGCATTGCTTTAGGCAACTCAAAGCGCGCAGCATGGACAGACGGCGTGGCGAGCGGATGTGGGAGACTAATGGAGCAAAGACGTAGGGTGAGGAGAGGACTGGAGTGTTAAGAAGCGGCGCGGAAAGAAAGCCGCGTCTGGCAGAAGTAGCAGGCAGACAGGTGGAGGAGATTTCGAGATTTGCGATTGCGGCTGTCGTGCGGCCTTTGAATCGAAAATGACGAGCAAGTGGAAGCAAGTCAGGGCAGGGCAGGACGTTGGACAGGTGGGGCAGGGGCAGGGCCTGCCATACAACTTGTCAAAAGTCACAGGCAGTAGGATCTAGTCTAGCTGCACCGGGGGCATTTTTCCCCCCGCACCCACTGCCCAAACCAGAAGTCCGACTTGACTCTGCCCCCCCATTCAGGTTCGACTCGAAAGGACGGCTCCGCCCATGTTGCCCAGCCATGCTGATTGGTGCAGCGGAGAAGCGAGCGCCTGTGCGATTCGGTCGAGAGGAGGGCGGCGGCCCCTATGCGATTTGAGAAGGGGGTTCCAACCACCAGCGCCACGAGAAGGACGGCGTGAAGGGTGGCGCAAGTGATTGGCCAAAGTGCCATCGTCAAATCTGGCCGTCCATCTGACACTCTGTTTACAGTTTTAAGGTCGTAAAGCGTACGTACTGAAGCGCAAACCACGCCGATGACGTGGCGATGACGCAGCTCAGTGTAACTGATACATCACATCTAACCTTTAGCTTTCAATAATGAAGCATTTAAACGCAACCCTCAACGCAACCTTATTAGAGAGATATATAAAAAATAACGAATGACTAGAACCATGGCATACAAGGGAATATAACCTAGCGGGTTGTAATCTCTAAGGAACAACCCTGTGTAGTCTATAACAACATACAAGGGCAGGGCATGGAGAAGGGTGCGTGAGGGGAATGGACGAGTGTGCGGTGGAGGACATGCTGTTGCTCTCCCTCACATGGGCCACATGGGGACGAGCTGCAGGGCATCAAAAAGGGAGAGGGGTGAGGGAAGGGAATGAAAGAGTGCGCATATCGTTAGATGCTGTTCAGGGAGGGTTTTTGGTTGACTGAGAGATTTCACCCATTGACCCATTCACCCATTCACCCACTCACCCATAAACCCACTCACCGGAGTTTTGGAGGTAGCAGACTCGGTGGTGGTGAACTTCCTACCCTAAAGATGGATGGAGCCATGGAGGCACAATTTCAGACGCAGCCACCACCACACATACCCAACGTTTCGTCCCCCCAGCATCCCTTTCCCCCACTGCCAGGAGTGTTGCAAGTAGCAGCCCTGGTGGTGGTGCTCAAGGCGGACGGCGCCATGGAGGGATGATTAGATTAGACACAGCCATCACTGCCAACCCAATATTCTATCTCCCCTATGCAACTCTTTCCAACGCCAGGGGTGTTGGAGGTGGCGGACGTGGTGGTGGTGGACAAGGCGGATGGTGCCATGGAGGGGCCTCGATGCGTGATGTGCATCCATCCTTCACACCCCTACTTCCATTCCCTATCTGTACTCCCCCCATCCCCCAACACCAGGAGTGGTGAAGGTGGCGGACCTGGGGCAGTGCTTGGTGAGAGACAAGCAACTCAGAGTGGCACTACTAGTCCAACCTCTGAGGCAAAGGTCTGAGAGACCAGTCAAATGAGTACAAACAAGGCAAGAGCAAGACCAGGGCGGCACTATTAGTCCAGCCACTGGGAAGAGGCCACAAGGCCAGTCAGGGTAATATATATAAAGGTCTGTACACAATCAAGGCCCTAGCAAATGAGAGGCTACAGGAACGAGACCTAGCTGTACACAGTGTCGCTGATGATCTTTAGGCGCAAGCGCCTTCGCAAAGATATCAGCTGTGTTGGCACCAGAGGCCAACACAGGAGAAAGTACCTGGCGGCCTGGCGGGCCTGGCGGCGTTGCTCTAGCTCTCGCAGGAGAAAGTACCATAGCTGGATGTGCTTCGCTCTGTCCTCGAGCCTAGGCTCCTGGCACAGAAGGATCATGGCTCTGTTGTCACCATACTGATTTGGGGCAGAGCTAGGCTGCTCACCTAAGTCAGTGAGCAAGAAGGTCAGCCAGCGGAGCTCCTGTGCCGCCAGCGCACCAGCGTAGATCTCAGCCTCATAGCTAGACTGGGCAACAGACGACGAGTAGTGAGTGGACCTCCACGAGATGGCACTTGAACCAAGGCTAAAGCAGTAGCCTTGGGAGGACCTGAGGGTCTCGGCATCGTCTGCCCAAGAAGCATCTGTGTGCCCTGTAAGGACCATTAGTCTGCGTCCATCTAGCACTAGCCCCATGTCCGATGTACTTGCTAGATAACCCAAAACCCTCTTAGCTGCCGACCAGTGCTGTGGTCGGTGTCTGCCGTTGGCCACAAAGCGAGCCAGGATGCTGAGAAGGTATGCGAGATCTGGATGAGTGTAAGTCATCAGGTACATGAGGCAACCCACCAGCTCTGCGTAGGGACAACTAGGTTCCACCGCCTCCTCCGGGACTGGAAAAAAGAGTCTGTGGTCTACTGGCAGAGAGGTGGCCTGTGCAGAAGAGAACTAAAGGCCGAACCTCTGAAGGACCTGGCGTACCAAGTGTGATTGTGAGAGAGTGATGGTGCACGCTGCTCTGTCCCTGGAGATCTGCAAGCCAAGGTAGCGGCGCAGCTCTCCTAGGTCAGTGCAGGTGTGTCTCCTCAGCAGCTTGGCCTTCACGGAGGTCAGCGCGTCTCTGTCTACAATAACAAAGACCAGGTCGTCTACGTAGACAGGGATGTAGAACGGAGTCTGGCCGGAACGGACGAAGAGCGAGGGGTCTGCAGACGACGTGAAGAACTTCAGGTCACCAAGTGTAGCACAGAGCGTGCCGTGCCACTCACGGGGCGTCTGTCGCAAGCCGTAGACGGGGCGCCTGAGGAGCCACTGGTTACCAGGTAAAAAGGTACCGGAGAAGCCCTGGGGGCGACGCAGGTAGACCTGCGCGTGAAGTCTGCCGTGGAGGAAAGCTGTAGAGAAATCAAGGGAGTGCAGCTCGTAGTCACGCTGTGCTGTTATGTGTAGTAGCCCCCGAAGAGTAGTCATCTTCGGGGTCGTGGCGAAGGTCTGAAAGAAGTCCACCCCCTCACGCTGACTGAAGCCTCGAGCAATGGTGCGCGCCTTAAAAACAGGCGGTTCTCCAGAAGGGCGCTTCATCTTGAAGAGCCATCGGTCATCGACTACATTTACCCCACGTGGGGGAAGTGCATCGACGAAGGTACCGGTGGATCTCCAAGATGCCATCTCCTGCTCCATGGCAGCTATCCACTGAGAGGCACAGGGTTCCGAGGTGGCCTCAGCGTAGGTGCGAGGGGTCGGGATGTCAAGAGCGTTTGGGTCACCCTCAGGGACTAGCAGCATGGAACAGAGATGGGGAGTGGCCTCTGATAGGAAAGCAAGCTCGTACTGCCTGTCCTCTAGGACGTCACTGCCAAGGGCAGCCACACCCCCGACAGACGGAGGGCAGGCAGGGTCAGAGACCAGAGCGGTGGCGTGGTAAAGGCGGCGGGTAGCGACGAAGTCACTGACAGCCGCGATAAGAGCCGACAGACTCGAGACAGGAACGGACGGGCCGGTAACAAGAGAGGCAAGGACACGAGGAACAAGGGGACGTGCAACACGGAGGAAGTCCGAGAACGGGGGCGGGGCCACAGCAAGCGACGACGGAGGAGTGTTGAGAATAGCCCTGATCCTGCGAAGGTTGCAGAAGTCTGCGGAAGTGGCATATCAACAAAGTCTGCGGACACGAGCCCTGCAGAAAGGCCCATCGACGAAGAGCAGATTTGTCGACAAGGCGAGGCTCTGTGGGAAGTGGCAGAGGAGCTGTTTTCGTTGGTGGCAGAAAAGCGGTTCTGTCGGAGTGGCAGAAAAGCGGTTCTGTTGGAGTGGCAGAACATGAGCGCTTTTTCTGCAGATGGCTTCTACTGACTTCTGTGCTTTTGTAGAAGCGGTCTTGGCAGAAATGAGATTTTACAAGACCCTCTGCCGATTTGGCTCTGCCATTCGCAGAAGGGTTGTCCTCTGCATAAGAATCGCGCAGAAGACATTTTTGCGGGCGACCCTTTCGGCAGAAGCGACTCTCAGAAATGCGTTCCAACAGGACCTCGGGCAGAGTGGCGCAAGAACCTGTTCGCGCAGAATTGCGTTCTGCCGAAGTTCGGCAGAAAAGGCAATTCGGCTATCTCTTCTGTTCACGACCCCCTCGGCAGAAACGAAATTCGGCAGAAGCGCAGCAAAGAGTTATCTCGGACTTCGCTTCCGCGAGCGACCCCTTCGACAGAAAAACGGGGACTTCATTTTTCTGTCGGAGGTGATGTTCCGAAATTGCGAGAAATTTGCGATTTCGTAAGTTGGCCACAGAACCGATCTGGACCGAAAAACGGCAAAATCTACTTGCGACATTGAGAAATTGAACACATGACGCACATTTCGTAACTGCATAAATGTGCGTAACATCTGACAGTTTCATATCTGAAGCTGTTAAAACAACTACTTATGAGTGGGTAAAAATTACCAACTAAGCATGTGCTGTAATTTCACATGCCATTGCTGACTTGGCTAAGCGCAGCTTAGAGTAGTTATGTAAACGTTCTCGTGCGAACGTTCTCTCCGTGTTCAATGAGGTTCAATAAGGTAGTACTAGTGTTTGCCTTGTGTACCATACTTTGTAATCTTGATTCTAGTGAATTTGTGTGCCCAAGCTTTCTCAAGCTACTCTGTGAAACATACAATTCTGAAGGCAACTCTCTCCTTAGAGAACCACAGAGCTAGAGAGCTCTATCTGCGTCAGGCACTTCCACAAAAGCTCCCGTTATAGTAGATAACTCTGCAAGGAGGAGACGGGAGAAGCGGAGAAGCACGAGATGTGTGGGAGCGAAGCAACATAGGGTGAGACCGCTGAACCAAGGAGGTAGGACGAGCACGAGACGGACGACGAGACCAGACGTGAGACGGAGGAGTCGGGTCAGGAGAGAGGGGAGGAGACACAGGAGGAGAACATGGAGGGAAACGAGCCGGAGAGGAGTCCGGGGGAGGAAACACTGGGCTGTAGACCGACGGAGGGGGAGGCAGCGGCGACGGAGGAGGCACCGGCAGGCAGTCAGGGGAAGGAAGACCGAG